GGCTACTCAAAGTGGGATCGATCAGAGAGGTTAAATACCTCGACTGGTTAGCAAACCCTATGGTCATCGAAAAGAAAAATAGAAAGTGGAGAGTCTGCGTCGACTTCACCGACCTAAACAAAGCATGTCCAAAAGACAGCTTTCCACTTCCACACATCGACCGCCTGGTTGAGGCCACAGCTGGCCATCAACTCTTGTCCTTCATAGATGCCTTCTCCGGATAAAATCAGATCAAGATGAATCCGGAAGACCAAGAAAAACAGCCTTCATTACTGATCGAGGTACCTACTGCTAGAAAGTAATACCTTTCGGCCTTTAGAACGTATGAGCAACCTATCAAAGGCTAGTAAACAAGATGCTTTCTAACCAGCTTGGTAAAACTATGAAAGTCTACATAGACGACATGCTGGCCAAGTCCTCAAAGGCGACCACGTCGCACAGCTTAGGAAAAGCTTCAAAATCTTAAATCAAGTACGAGATGAAGCTCAACCCAAGAAAATGCACCTTCAGAGTCACCTTAGGAGAATTCCTCGGTTACCTGGTAACCGAACGAGGGATCGAGGCAAACCCAAAGAAGATAATGGCTTTCCTAGAAAAGCCATCTCCCAGAATAACTTGGAAAGTACAACGCTTGACCGATCGAGTTGCAGCCCTCAACCGGTTCATCTCGCGGTCAACCGACAAGTGTCTCCCGTTCTACCAAGTCCTCAAAGGAAACAAAAAATTCCAGTGGGATGAGAAATACGAGGAGGCACTTACTCAACTCAAAACTTACCTCACCAAGTTTCCTATCTTGGCTAAGCCAGTCGAACGAGAACCTTTATACCTTTATACATCAGTCTCTCCAGCAGTAGTAAGCGGCGTGCTAGTTCGAGAGGAGCTCAACGAGCAAAAACCAATCTTTTACGTAAGCAAAATGCTTATTGATGCCGAGACTAGGTAACCAGCTATGAAAAAACTAACACTAGCTGTAGCTGTAGTAATGTCAGCTCGCAAGCTTCGACCTTACTTTCAGTTGCACTCAATCGTAATAAAGACCTCTCAACCTTTGCGAACCATACTCCACAGTCCCAGCTAGTCAGGACGCCTTGCGAGCTCACCGAGTACGATATCGAATATCGGACCAGGACATGCGCCAAATCCCAGGTCATGACAGACTTCATGGTCGAGCTAGCTCCAGAAGCTAGGTCAGAAAGCCCATCCTCCAAAACCTGGACTCCCTACGTCGATGGATCATCGTCCAAACAAGGGTCCAGAGTCGGGGTCCTGCTCACCTCTCCGACTGGAGAAGTAATGGAATAATCTTTTCGTCTCGGAGTCATCTCGTCTAACAACGAGTCAGAGTACGAAGCACTCATAGCTGGGCTGCAGCTTGCGATCAGCGTCGGTGCAATGGAGATCAAAACTCACAGCAACTCGAGACATGTCACCGGCCATTACAGCGGTGATTACGAGACAAGAGAAGAATGCATGGAAGCCTGCTTAACCATAGTTCGCAGCCTCGCAGAACAATTCACTCGTTTCGAGCTCGTCCATATACCCTGAGGTGAAAACACGACAGTAGATGCTTTAGCAGTTCTAGCTTCCACCTCCAACCCAGTGGTAAAACGAATAATCCCAGTCGAATGAATTGAGAAACCTAGCATAAACCTAGCACTCAAAACACCGACTTTGAGCATAATTACCACGCGACCATCAACCTGGTCACAAACCCAACAGTCCCAAGATCCGGGACCATCCAACGCAGCCGACCATCCCGATGAGGATGAGCCTGCGAACGCTCCACCAGAAGATGCCGATTCGAACCCGACCTCCTCACAAAATACTCAGGAATCAACAATCCATAAAGTACCGACTACACTCGTAGATGAACCAACCTTCAAGGACGAGTTCACCGCCAGAGCAAATTGGAGGATACCCATCCTTGAGTACATCATTCATGGAATAGCTCCCACCGACAAGTGGGAAGCTCGAATGCTCAAGGTTAAAAGTGCTCGCTATAGCGTGTTATCCAATGACAAGCTATACAAACGAGGACTACCCAAACCATACCTTAAATGCGTACACGGTGAGGAAGCCTACACAGTAATGCCCGACACTCACCAAGGCCCCTGCGGAAGTTATGCTGGAGGTCGAGTGCTTGTCATTCCAATAAAAAAACTTGGCTACTTCTGGCCGAAAATGATTGCGGACTGTCAAAGACTGTCCAAGAGCTGCGACAAATGTCAGAGGCATGCCCCGATCATTCATTATCCGGCAGAAAGACTATCGTCAATCTCGGCACCTTACCTATTCATGAGATGGTCAATGGACATAATAGGACTTATGCTCCCTTCAGGACCTAAGCAATTTAGGTTCTTACTAGTGCTCACCGACTACTTGACCACATGGATAAAAGCTAAAGCGTATCAACAAACAACCAAACTCCAGGTGTGCAGCTTCATCTAGAAAAACGTGATATGCCGTCATGGGCTTCCTTAAGAAATTGTAACGGACAATGGTTCGCAGTTCATATCGCGAAACTTCAAACACTTCTGCGCGAAGTGGAAGATAAAAATATCCTACTCCACACCTCATTATCCTCAAGAAAACGGGCAAGCTTAAGCAACTAATAAAACCATCTTGAGCAATCTCAAGAGACGGCTCGAATCCAAAAAAGAAAGGTGGTCCGAACACATTTTGGCCATACTCTGGGCTTGCCGAACCACACCTCACAAAGTAACCAGCGAAAAATCGTTCTCACTATCTTACGGGCTGGAAGCTGTAATCCCAACAAAACTGCAGTTCGTAGTCTTCGTCGGAATCTTTGCCCGACAAACACTAAACTCAATGAGCAGCTGTTAAGGTACCAGCTCGATCTGATCGACAAACGTCGAGATCAAGCATTGATCAGGATCCAAAATTACCAGCAGGCCGCAACTCGCTACTACAACTCCAAGGTCAAACACTGAAGATTCAACGTAAGAGATTTGGTCATGCACAAGGTACATGATTACACCAAAGAGCTCGGTGCTGGGAAACTAGGAACCAACTGGGAAGGTCCCTATCGCATCACTGAAGTAGTTCGCGACGGTGTCTACAAGCTCACGAAAGTACGAAACAGGGTGCCCGAGATAAGACCTTGGAACGTAATGAACCTCAAGAGGTATTATCGCTAAAAGCCCTTTAAAAAATCAAACTACGTCATGGCTTGATCCCCTTACGGGGTACGTAGGCAGCTCGACCCATGAGTTCATACACCATTTTTTTTTATCAAATTCTTATTCCTCAGTATGACAACATCAATAGGCGAGCTATACGCGACGACCCTACTTTGTGTCATCTTTCCTTCTCTTTTACTTGGAATAATAATCAATTACTCAGCAACAATTATATTTGTCAAAACCGAGATCACGAACCAAAACAGTTCGGACCACCCTTGTCACACACTTATAAGCTAGAATACATCAAATTAAACTCGAGTTCCCGAGCTCGGCGTCGAGGTCAAAACATAGCCCACCCACCCATACCTTGCAACAAGCAAGCTCTAGCTCACGCACCGCTCACTTGTTCGGGGGCGGGGGGGGGGGGGGGGGGGTGAAGTCCTATCCGGCCCACTCAAGCCCAACAAGCAGATCCAGACTAAGCACAAATTGGCTGGGCTTTGACCATAAAGTCCAGATCCATTTCCTCGCAACAATCCAATCAGAACAATCAAACGATCCATTCGACGAAGTCGAGCTCTAGCTCGACGAAGTCGAGCTCTAGCTCGACGAAATCCCGAGAAACAAGGAAGGATCCAAGCCAAGTGAGAGCATATTCTCGCCAGTTCAAATGAGTCCAAAATTCGCTGAGGAAGCTGCTACACGTGGCCGAGATTTCCGGCTGAAGCTGCTGCACGTGGCCGAGATACGCGGTGGAGGTTGAAGCTCGACGAAGCGAGCTATATATAGGATGCAAACTGCTTAGTGAAGGGACTTTTCCGGCTACTCTTAGAGATTTTTTTATTTCATCTCTTTCAGAGAAAATCCTTGTAACCGTTTCATTCAACCGATTAATATCAAGTCCATATTTCAGTTAGTGCTAGCTTATACTGTCAGTCTGTTTGAGAGAATCTAGCTCTTAGTTATCCTAAAGTTTTTTCCTTACAAAATATATAAATTTCTGAGTGTGGATTTCTACAATTATCAATTTAAAAAAATGAAGAAACCCATCTACTACTAAGAAATTAAAAATTAGAAAAAAAAATCTAAAAATTAAAAACTACGCAGTCTTAATAAGCCCATAGAAAACGAATAAGAAAATTATTCTTTTGGTGACTAAAAGGGGCCCAATGATGTTTGTAATATGGGCCTCATGGACATTAAATTTAACCCACATTATAAAGTGTCTAAGCCAACCAATAAAAGCTAAAACCCTTATTGTGCTCCGCCTTCTAGCTCTTCTGTTTATCTGTGCTTCAAGGCAAACGATAGAGGTCGGAGCGGCTGCTACTTAGGTTTCAGGTTAGAAAATCTCTGGAGTTTTCCATTTTTGTTCGAATTTTATAATATGCTGTATCGCCAGTTGGAATACGTTGTAGTTGCGCTCGTAGTTAATTTGCTCAATTTGATTCTAGAGTTTTCTTTCTGGGATTTGATTTCGTACACGTATGATCAAAATGCAACTATAGCTTGTAGATTCTGTATCAGTTTATTTATCTATGTCATTCCCGTTTTCCATACTGTGTTTGATGAATTTGGGGTCAAGTTCCATGCATCTCGGTGAACTTTCCTGACTAGATGTTCTTAGAACCATAAGCTCCTTTGTGTATCTTATTGGAATAAAAAGTACATAGCGTCTTTTTACAATGCTAGCATTAGTGTTTACTTTCTATGTTTCTCGGAAATTACTTACCTTCTTGCAACTTTTAGTAAGCTATATTAATACGTTATTAACCTATGAGTCATCCCCTCTCGTGTGATTTACACAGCAAAAGCTTATCTCGGTGATTAGCTCCCGTAGAAAAAGAGAGAAACAAAATGGCCACTAACGGATCAGCTAGCTCGGCGCAGCTTTCCCAGAGGGAAGCCGACATCAGGATGATGTGTGCTGCTGAGGTTCACCTTGGAACCAAAAATTGCAACTACCAGATGGAGCGTTACGTCTTCAAGAGACGCAACGACGGTAATATCTCGTTTTTTTTTTTTGGTTTTTTTTCAACTTGTATATACGTGAAAATATATATGTGTGTATATAGATGATTAGAGTATTTCGATTCTGTGTTAATATTTCTATATGTGTGTAACCTGCAGCTTTGTTTTAGAACAAAGCTGTAGGTTACACATATATATTTTCACATTGTTTTAGAATGTTTTGGATTTGTAGGCCGTTTTAGTTCTTCACACTTTTATCACCAACGTATATTTTAGCCGCAGCCACGGATCTAAATAGCCGCAGACAAAAATAATACTTGGACGCTTAAACTAGCCATTTGTGTCAGTCAGTTAATAAATTTGTGTCTTTTCCTGATTTCTTGTTTACAAGACTGTTTTTGGTGTCTATGAAGAATTGAGTAGGACTCGTGTTTCATTTGGTTCCTTGATTCTAAGCTTAGAGGCTATCCGTTTTTGGTTTTCTGTTCTTTTATCAGTATTGGGTTTAAACGTGACTGGTGTTTTGCCCATCTGCCTTGAACTCTTCTGCTTTAGATGGTCTGTCATTTTAATTAATTTTTTCCTTTTCAGGGATATACATATTTAACCTCGGCAAAACATGGGAGAAACTCCAGATGGCTGCACGAGTTATCGTTGCTATTGAGAACCCACAGGACATCATTGTGCAGTCAGCTAGGCCCTATGGTCAAAGAGCTGTCCTGAAGTTCGCTCAGTACACAGGAGCCAATGCTATTGCTGGAAGGCACACTCCTGGTACCTTCACCAATCAAATGCAAACCTCATTCAGCGAGCCCAGGCTGCTGATTCTTACAGATCCCCGTACTGACCACCAGGTAAACTCTTTTACTGTACTTGTACTGATGAGTTTTTTTGTCCTAATACAAGTGGATGGTTATGTCTTGTTGACAACTTATGTGTGTTGCAGCCCATCAAGGAAGGTGCTTTGGGAAACATTCCCATCATTGCTTTCTGTGACACGGACTCTCCCATGAGATTTGTCGACATCGGTATCCCCGCCAACAACAAGGGAAAGCACAGCATTGGTTGTCTTTTCTGGCTTCTTGCTCGCATGGTCCTTCAGATGCGTGGAACCATCCGCCCTCAACAGAAGTGGGATGTCATGGTAAGAAATAATTTCTTTTCTGTGACTTCGTTCCTTCTTACAAAGGCTTACATTGTCCCGTATAGAAGAGTTTTGATTATGTGGTCGATCTACTCTTCATGTTTGGTGTGTACAGGTCGATCTGTTCTTCTACAGGGAGCCCGAGGAGGCGAAGCCAGAGGATGAGGATGAGTCCGCTCCTCAGGCGGACTTTCGACTACCTGCTCCTGAATATGGAATGGGTGGTGGAGACCAATGGACCACAGCTGCGATCCCTGATGCTGCATGGCCAGGAGAAGCCCATCAGCCTATCGCTGCTGCTCCTGCCGCTGCTTCTTGGGACGATTCAGGCGGTGAGTTTTTGACAAATATATCCTCAAAACCCTATTTTTTGCTCTGGATCTTTTAAGTCAACGATTTTGATTTTTATGGTTTGTTCTCGATTTTTTCCTTGCGGTCACAGTTTCTCCAGCAGCAGAAGGTGGATGGGACACGGCGGTGCCACCCCCGACTGCTCCAGTTACCAGTTGGGAGTAAAGTTGATAGACTTTACAATTGTGGTTATTAGACATGGTTTTTTGTTACCGTTGGGATCGAAGAGTTATCGAACCGTAATTTGTTTTACTATAATTATCTCTTGCGCTTTGATCACAAATATAATTTGAGCTTTTAGTTCCTTGAAACAATTCTCTACATTCTAATTAATTGGTGCTGACTAGCTATTTCCCCTTTAAAACTATTATTAGCACTGTGTCCACATGAATTTTAGCATTCATTCCAATTACACCTCGATCTAAAGTTTAAAACCAATATTCCAATTGCATTTTAATCTAAAGTTTTAAACCAGTTTCTCCACCATTTGGAAGTTTTTTTTTTATCATCATAAACTTGTAACGAAAAAAGGTTACATGAAATAGGTGACATCAAAGGAGGTTAACAACACCTCAAAATAAAAAAGCATTAAACTCCTAATGAAAAAGATAACTAGATAGTGCAAATTGCTTCTTGTCTCAGTCGTTCTTGTAATAATGATATGGTTGAAATCTTCCATCTTTTGTAACACTTTTAGTAATATCTCTCGCTATCAAATTGGTTACCTTGTTCTCTACTTGAAACTCGCATCGAGTAAAAACATTACCTAAGTTGTTGATGACTTCTGTGAATACGCGGTAACTGCAGATGGTTTTAAGATGGCATCAATAGCTTCTGCATAGTCCGATGCTATGTTTACATTATGAACTTGTAGGTTTCTCAGGTTCTGTAACGTCCATATTATAAGTCGGTTGGGCGAACATGTGAGAGCTTCCCGTGCGTGTAGTAGGACATTACCAATGTAGTTTCTAGTGATCCAGGCCACTCCACTATGTAAAGTGACATTCCTCCAATTAGCGTGAACGTTACATTTAACCATTTCTTGCATTGGTTTTTGCCACTGGTTGACATTTATGCTCAAGTTCCTGCCACTGGTGGTTTCTATTGCTGCTGGATAGTTAAGCTGATTCTATATCATAGCCTCTTCTATGCTTCTGTGGAATATGACTTGAGGAGCTTCCTGTTTACCAGCCATTATGATTGCGTTCCTGTTCTTCCATATGTTCCACATCAACCATAGAATTGCTTCTCTGATGCTCTCATGAATGTTGTTATTGTCTATAAGGGCCAGCACCAGAGTTGTATTGGATTCCAGAGAGTCAGAAAACATGCCCTCATTACCTGAGTGGTATAAATTTATGTCTAATACCGAAGATATTCTTTGCTATATCGCATTGAAATAGCATATTATCTTCGGGCCTTTGTTACACAGCTTGCAATCACTATCCACTGGTATATTTCTTCTTTGAAGCCTTTTTGACACTACCAATGCACCAGAGAGAAAACGCCAGAAGATCATTTTTATCTTGGGAGAGGTTTTCAAAGCCCAAATCCATTGTTTCAGTGCTCTTCGCTCTGTTTTTCTAGCAGCCGGTTGAGGTTTTGGGATCGCAGGATGATTTGCTACTAGCCAACAACCACTCTTGACAGCGTAGGAACCATGTTTTGTGTATGCCCAAATGTATTTATCTTGTATGTTCCCTAGAGGTAGCTTAAGTATACGGCCCAAGCCTTCAGGGGGAAAACAAGATACTCAATTTAGTTTCATCCCACTTACTCAACAAAAAAGCTCTGCAACATCCACATCTTTATTCATCAAATATGCTGATTCATTGGTCTTCTAGGTGCTCCATCCAGAATCCAATTATCAATCCACACTTTTGTACCCCTGCCATTTCCAATGGACTTGATGAGGCCTTAATAATTCTCGTATGTGAATGATACTCCTCCAAGCATATGACAGACTATATCCTGTACCACAGTCCATGAAGTCTTTATTGGAGAAATAACAGCCTTTGTATAGAAGAGAGATGAGTGATGTAGGCTCATTGAAGATTCTCCTGGCTTGCTTTGCCAAAAGGGCTTGATTAAAGTATCCAATATCTCGAAATCCTAAACCTCCACTTACTTTAGACTTGCACATTTCTTTCCAAGATATCCAATGTATCTTCCTTTTTTTTTATCACAGGTGCTCTATCAAAACTCTGTCATTGCACTTGTAATCTTTTGGCATTGATTTTTTGTAAGCCGGAAGCAGGACATCGTATAAACGGGAAAAGTCATAGCAATAGACTTAGGGAGGACCTCCTTTCCTCCAAGGGAAAGCGTTTTGGCATACCATCCTTTGAGTTTTTTGCTTAGCTTATCTCCAATGAATGCTAGAAGTTCCTGTTTAGACCCACTGAAACACTCTGGCAACTTCAAGTAAGTTCCTGCCTCACACTCATTGTCAATGACCAAGACTTCAGCTATTAATCGTCTCATGTATGGATCAATCCTAGCACCATTAGTTACTGATGACTTCTGAAAGTTGATTTCTTGTCCCGAAGCATCTCTATGCAGTTTTAAACATTTCAAAAATTCAGTACATTCAAAGAGTGTTGCCTTGCACATGAAGAGGCTATCATCTGCAAACAGTAGATGTTGGATTGATGGGGATTGTCTTTATAAGCACATCCCTGTAATCTTTTCATCTTTTTCAGCTTTATTCATGATATGGACCAAAGCCTCTGCATATAAGATGAAAAGAAAAGGAGATAGAGGATCTCTTTGACGAATGCCTCTTTCTGGTTTGAAATGCCAAACGCTTGGCTAGTGATCAGAACCGTATACGATACCGATCTCACACAAGTCATGATCCATGAAATCCAAACCTGATTGAAAACCATCCACTCAAATAGCTCTTCCAGGAATGACCATTCTACTCTATCATATGCTTTGGACATATCAGTCTTAATGGCGATGAACTCTTCTTTGCAAGTAGGATTAGTACACAGTTCATGGATGATTTAGTGAGCAATGAGGATATTGTCAGAAATCAATCTACCAGCAACATAGGCTCCTTGTGTTTGTGACACTATCATGGGTAAAAAATGTTTGAGTCATGTTGATAATATCTTAGAAACAATCTTGTATACCACAGAGCAAAGACTGATGGGGTGAAGGTCTGCCATTTCTGTTGGATTCGGTTTCTTGGGTAGCAAGCTGATATGTGTAAAGTTCCATTCTTCTGGCAAAACACCTGATTCAAAGAAAGCTTTCACTTCATTTGTGATCTGTAGCCTTGTTATTTTCCAGATTTTTTGATAAAAGCTTATTGTCAACCCGTCTGCTCCAGAGACACTGCCACTTTTAATGCTCTTAACTGCTCTCTTAATCTCATTATCCATGACTTTTCATGTTAGTTCTTGATTTATATGTGGCGTGACTTTCTTCTTAAATCATTGCAGTAATTTTGTTGCTCTCCCAGGCAAAGAAGTACTGAAGTGTCTTTTAAAATACTTAACTGCTATCTCGCCTTTCATGCTTTCAGAAAATTGTTCCATTTTGTTCCAATATTATCCATCAGTCAGATGATCTTCTTTTTTCAAAAAACTGGTCTTCACACTATTATGAAAGAACCGAGAATTTTTGTCCTCCACATTCAATAATTTTTCATCGCTTTTTTGTTGCCAGAAAGCCTTTTCCTCCTCCATAGCTTTCATTAATTCCAGTTTTGTTTCTGACATTTTTGAAAGTTTGGAAATCTCATTGATGACTCTCTGTACCTCTGTCTATAGTAACTGAATCCTCTTACTGGAGTTCATGTCTGAGCCTTTTTTCCATATTGAGAGCTCTTTTCTGACATCTGATATTCAATCTAGGGTCTTTTTAGGCATTTGCGTATGTTTTTTCCATCCTCTGTGTACTGCGTCTGCCACCTCTAGTTTTTCACACCATCTTTTGTCAAAAACCATGCGTCCTCCATGTCTACCATCCTCTTTCACTTGCCATATTAAGAGCGGTCTATGATCAGATCCAATTCGTTCCAGATATTCTGAATGAGTCCTCGGAAACAGGTGGAACCACTCTACATTCCCAAAGGCTCTATCTAGCCTGCATTGGATCCAAACGTTTTCCTTTTTGCCATTTACGTTAATGACTTCCCTCTTTCCTGGCCCAGTAAGTTTGTTACCTGAACTTGGTATTAATACAAGAGTCTCTGGCGAGAGCTTAGGATCGGAAATCTCATTGATGACTCTCTGTACCTCTGTCTATAGTAACTGAATCCTCTTACTGGAGTTCATGTCTGAGCCTTTTTTCCATATTGAGAGCTCTTTTCTGACATCTGATATTCTCTCTAGGGTCTTTTCAGGCATTTGCATATGTTTTTTCCATCCTCTGTGTACTGCGTCTGCCACCTCTAGTTTTTCACACCATCTTTTGTCAAAAACCATGCGTCCTCCATGTCTACCATCCTCTTTCACTTGCCATATTAAGAGCGGTCTATGATCAGATCCAATTCGTTCCAGATATTCTGAATGAGTCCTCGGAAACAGGTGGAACCACTCTACATTCCCAAAGGCTCTATCTAGCCTGCATTGGATCCAAACGTTTTCCTTTTTGCCATTTACGTTAATGACTTCCCTCTTTCCTGGCCAAGTAAGTTTGTTACCTGAACTTGGTATTGATACAAGAGTCTCTGGCGAGAGCTCAAGATCGGAAATCTCATTGATGACTCTCTGTACCTCTGTCTATAGTAACTGAATCCTCTTACTGGAGTTCATGTCTGAGCCTTTTTCCATATTGAGAGCTCTTTTATGACATCTGATATTCTCTCTAGGGTCTTTTTAGGCATTTGCGTATGTTTTTTCCATCCTCTGTGTACTGCGTCTGCCACCTCTAGTTTTTCACACCATCTTTTGTCAAAAACCATGCGTCCTCCATGTCTACCATCCTCTTTCACTTGCCATATTAAGAGCGGTCTATGATCAGATCCAATTCGTTCCAGATATTCTGAATGAGTCCTCGGAAACAGGTGGAACCACTCTACATTCCCAAAGGCTCTATCTAGCCTGCATTGGATCCAAACGTTTTCCTTTTTGCCATTTACGTTAATGACTTCCCTCTTTCCTGGCCAAGTAAGTTTGTTACCTGAACTTGGTATTGATACAAGAGTCTCTGGCGAGAGCTCAGGATCGGAAATCTCATTGATGACTCTCTGTACCTCTGTCTATAGTAACTGAATCCTCTTACTGGAGTTCATGTCTGAGCTTTTTTCCATATTGAGAGCTCTTTTCTGACATCTGATATTCTCTCTAGGGTCTTTTTAGGCATTTGCGTATGTTTTTTCCATCCTCTGTGTACTGCGTCTGCCACCTCTAGTTTTTCACACCATCTTTTGTCAAAAACCATGCGTCCTCCATGTCTACCATCCTCTTTCACTTGCCATATTAAGAGCGGTCTATGATCAGATCCAGTTCGTTCCAGATATTCTGAATGAGTCCTCGGAAACAGGTGGAACCACTCTACATTCCCAAAGGCTCTATCTAGCCTGCATTGGATCCAAACGTTTTCCTTTTTGCCATTTACGTTAATGACTTCCCTCTTTCCTGGCCAAGTAAGTTTGTTACCTGAACTTGGTATTGATACAAGAGTCTCTGGCGAGAGCTCAGGATCGGAAATCTCATTGATGACTCTCTGTACCTCTGTCTATAGTAACTGAATCCTCTTACTGGAGTTCATGTCTGAGCCTTTTTTCCATATTGAGAGCTCTTTTCTGACATCTGATATTCTCTCTAGGGTCTTTTTAGGCATTTGCGTATGTTTTTTCCATCCTCTGTGTACTGCGTCTGCCACCTCTAGTTTTTCACACCATCTTTTGTCAAAAACCATGCGTCCTCCATGTCTACCATCCTCTTTCACTTGCCATATTAAGAGCGGTCTATGATCAGATCCAATTCGTTCCAGATATTCTGAATGAGTCCTCGGAAACAGGTGGAACCACTCTACATTCCCAAAGGCTCTATCTAGCCTGCATTGGATCCAAACGTTTTCCTTTTTGCCATTTACGTTAATGACTTCCCTCTTTCCTGGCCAAGTAAGTTTGTTACCTGAACTTGGTATTGATACAAGAGTCTCTGGCGAGAGCTCAGGATCGGAAATCTCATTGATGACTCTCTGTACCTCTGTCTATAGTAACTGAATCCTCTTACTGGAGTTCATGTCTGAGCGAAAGGCGAAAGCTCAGAATCGGTAGAAAGTGTTCATCATGTCATTAAAGTCTCCAACTAGAAGCCAAGCTTCATTCCAATGTGTTCCAATATCAGCTATTCTATTCCACACAATATGTCTTTATTGCTTGACAGGATCTCCATACACGAAGGATACAAAGTAGAAAACTGAACCAATCTTTATTCTTGAATCAATAAAATGATTATATGAATACAAAACGTCTACTAGATGAGAATTTCTCCAAAACAAAGTCAAACCTCCACTAAGACCCACTGGATTCACCAAACGGTGGTGATCAAAACCCAACAATCTCTGTAAACTTAAAACATAATCACTAGAGTTTTTAGTCCCATATGAGAATGTTATACTTATTTTTTTTTTAGTTCTGAGAGGCTTATCCTTTTGCTCGTTCCATTTAATGCTCACATCCTATAGCCAAAGAGGTTTAGCAATGTCAAGACCAGTTTAACCAACATGGAAAATAATAAAAAGAGTGATTTTTGTGTCTGACATTGCAAAAGCCTACAAGAAATTCATCAAACTAGTTTATGTTAGTATATTTTAGCATATACATCTACATGAAACTAAAATATTTCTACTTTATGTAAGTGAGTTCCAATATCTTCCAAGGATTAAAGAGGTCTGAGATTTTGATACTAACATGTGCCAATACAGGTGTAGAGTTTCATATAATAACAAAGAAGAAAAAGAGATTTTCTTTTCTTTTGGTAGGACTTGTAGGACTATAATTTTCGACATCGTCTTCTGTCTCATCTACTTGATCATCCTTTATCAAATCATCCCTCTCATTTTGTGGACAAATGGACATGGTGAAGAATTCATCTGTTACAAAAGCAGAAACTCGAAATATTAAACATAATCCGATTAAGTGATCAAAAATCAAAATCAATCTTATATAATTAAAACTCTAAAGACTCATAACACAATTCCATGTTTCCGAATCAAAACTACAAATATGCAATTCTAAGTTCTCAGAAGAAGGATAAGGAGAAGGAGAAGGGAGAAGATTCAGAGAAGGAGAATCAGAGAAGGAGTTCATACCCGCAATTGATTTTCTCGACAACTATGAAGGAGGAGATGCATGAATCCTGAAGAAGAAGGATAATCAGAGGAGGAGAAATAGAATTTGAGAAAGAGAAGAAGTGAGAGAATCAGTAAAAAGAGAAGAAGGAGAATCACATTAGGAAGAGAAGGAGTTTATACCTGGGATTGATTTTATCGACTACAATAAAGGAGAAGAGATGGATAGACTTCGAATAGGGATTTGATCAATCGTAATATCCAAACTGTAATGATTAAAAAAACCAATCGAATAATTAGTTTGGGTAGCCGATGGTTCTCAGGTTTTACTCGAACCAAACCGAAACCCAAACTAAATTTAATCAAAAGCCAATCATATAACTACAGATAACCAAATCCAAACCAAACAGCTATTTTGGGTCAATTCGGTTCAGGTCCACCGGGTCCGGTTCGGATGCCCATGATTAGTTAGGAACTTGCATTGAGGGATTCCAAGCCATGAAAAAGTCAGTGTTGTGAATGGAACCCACCTTAAAACTGTAATTGGTGGAGTTTTAATTATTGCTACAGCTTAAGATTCTAATCACTACCATTATCCAATTGCTTTCGGCGTAGTTGATTGTGAGAATAATGCAAGCTGGATATGGTTTCTGAATAAGGTTAAAATCAATAGCACCGAATGATCTTGGAATGGTGTTTCTTTTTCTGCAGTGTTCATCATGTCATTAAAGTCTCCAACTAGAAGCCAAGCTTCATTCCGATGTGTTCCAATATCAGCTATTCTATTCCACACAATTTGTCTTTATTGCTTGACAGGATCTCCATACACGAAGGATACAAAGTAGAAAACTGAACCAATCTTTATTCTTGAATCAATAAAATGATTATATGAATACAAAACGTCTACTAGATGAGAATTTTTCCAAAACAAAGTCAAACCTCCACTAAGACCCACTGGATTCACCAAACGGTGGTGATCAAAACCCAACAATCTCTGTAAACTTAAAACATAATCACTAGAGTTTTTAGTCCCATATGAAAATGTTATAATTATTTTTTTTTTAGTTCTGAGAGGCTTATCCTTTTGCTCGTTCCATTTAATGCTCACATCCTATAACCAAAGAGGTTTAGCAATGTCAAGACCAGTTTAACCAACATGGAAAATAATAAAAAGAGTGATTTTTGTGTCTGACATTGCAAAAGCCTACAAGAAATTCATCAAACTAGTTTATGTTAGTATATTTTAGCATATACATCTACATGAAACTAAAATATTTCTACTTTATGTAAGTGAGTTCCAATATCTTCCAAGGATTAAAGAGGTCTGAGATTTTGATACTAACATGTGCCAATACAGGTGTAGAGTTTCATATAATAACAAAGAAGAAAAAGAGATTTTCTTTTCTTTTGGTAGGACTTGTAGGACTACAATTTTCGACATCGTCTTCTGTCTCATCTACTTGATCATCCTTTATCAAATCATCCCTCTCATTTTGTGGACAAATGGACATGGTGAAGAATTCATCTGTTACAAAAGCAGAAACTCGAAATATTAAACATAATCCGATTAAGTGATCAAAAATCAAAATCAATCTTATATAATTAAAACTCTAAAGACTCATAACACAATTCCATGTTTCCGAATCAAAACTACAAATATGCAATTCTAAGTTCTCAGAAGAAGGATAAGGAGAAGGAGAAGGGAGAAGATTCAGAGAAGGAGAATCAGAGAAGGAGTTCATACCCGCAATTGATTTTCTCGACAACTATGAAGGAGGAGATGCATGAATCCTGAAGAAGAAGGATAATCAGAGGAGGAGAAATAGAATTTGAGAAAGAGAAGAAGTGAGAGAATCAGTAAAAAGAGAAGAAGGAGAATCACATTAGGAAGAGAAGGAGTTTATACCTGGGATTGATTTTATCGACTACAATAAAGGAGAAGAGATGGATAGACTTCGAATAGGAATTTGATCAATCGTAATATCCAAAATGTAATGATTAAAAACTAATCGAATAATTAGTTTGGGTAGCCGATCGGTTCTCAGGTTTTACTCGAACCAAACCGAAACCCAAACTAAATTTAATCAAAAGCCAATCATATAACTACAGATAACCAAATCCAAACCAAACAGCTATTTTGGGTCAATT